AACACTAATGATTTGTAGTGCGCATGTCGTATGTGTTTTATTTGTACATCGGTCTCCTTTTGACAGAGTAGGTGAGCTGTGTCCAGGCCGTAGGTGTTTATGCCGGTCGGCGTAGCCAGGTATGGATTGAAACGAGAAGTCGTTGCTTCGTCTTCTTGTTGTCACGGCATTATTATTATTTGTTCATATATGTGAAATTTGCTTCTAAGGTTTATAAAATACTACTGCTAGACACGGCGTAAATGAAAACAAACAAGACGCATTCACACAAACACCTCCCACCACAGTAATTACAAATCATTAGTGTTTTTCGAAGTGTCCAATTTTTGACCAATCGAAATCCCTTAATAGTTCGCATAGTAATCTGAAATCAATGTTTTTAAAATTATGTCTGTTTTCAAGGTTATTGTTTGTGTATGTGAGTCTATTACTTTTTTAACTTCTATTTTAATTATCAGAGAGGGATATTTTTTGTCTATAGAAACTAAAGGTTCTAATTCTTCCTCTATATTCAAATTCATATTCCCAAGCACCAAATCTAGAAATTTCTGATCCTCGTTAAGACAATTGTTGTAAGACTGTAGATTGTAATTAAAGAAGACATTGTTTGTATTATATCATATTTCGCAGCTTCATGACAGTCTTCGATTGTGGATTTATATATAAAAAAAGCCTCTAAACTGGAATGGTTACCGCATAATTCAATTGGACTCAAAAGACCGAAAGATCGTGCTCGCTGTGACAGCAATGAAGAAACGATCTAAGATGAAAGATGGCTCCATTGGAATTTTATTTTACATGACAGCAGATCCCAATCGCAGAAAAAGGTCGGCGAGTCAAATATTCGCCTAAAAAAAATATAGAAAATATTTTTTCCTGATAGATAACAATATTATACTTTTATTGTTCTTTGTTCAAGCGATACATTTTTCGTTTTCGGTTATGTAAATACGCCTTCGCAATGTGAATGGCTATGACCTACAATGAGAAAGAAAGGAAACTAAGGATGAAGATGTACCTACTTTATTATAAAGTTATCCGTTTACTGTGTTCGATAAGACGGTATACCTACTTGTTTTTACTTCTGTTATAAAGAAATTAAACGTCTAGTTTATTTTAAGCATCGAAGAATTGGGTAATGGTACATTACGTATTAAGCGTAGTAAAGAGTAGACACGATTAGTATGACGTCACGATTTAGACAACCAGTATTACTATACGAGTAAAATATATCTCCCAATTAAATTGGTTCTTATTCAATTCTTATTCAATTTTTTTTTTGTATTTTATTATATTAATAACGGGAATATTCTAATATGAATTGAAATAATATACGTTTAACTAGTGGTGGGTTTGACAGACTAGTCTGAAAAGTTGACTAGTCCAAACACACTTTTCAAAAGTGGAAAAGTGTATTGCGCATGATAGAAATTAAATTATCTAATTCGTCTGAATTTTTCATAAACAAAGACAAAATTTAGCTTAAAAAAGAAGAAACGACAAATGTTTACTGACTTTTATAATGTTTTAACGATGTTTCCAAATTTTCGTTTCTTATCTTATTAAAATAAACTCGCGAAAAAATTACCAAAAAATCCAAAAGTTGGAAGTATTTTACAAATGATTTTACAAAAAAAAACGAAAATACAAATGCAAATATTGTTCCAAAAGTGTTTTTGAAATAATATCCAGAATGGATATTCTTCTTCTATTCGAGGTCGACTACATTTCACTACTTTTCCGGACATGTCCGTCGGACTAGTCAAAAAATTACTTTTCTACTTTTAATTGAATTTATAGGGTTCGTTCAAAGTTTGTTCTGCGACAATGTTAATAAATCAAATATTATTATAAAATAATCAATTCTCGAATAACTAATTTCTGCCGCTTAGAACTCTGTAATTTGTTAGGGTTATTACCCCTTATAATTTTCGGACAAGGATATCTGTATCTGTAACGTGTGGAGGGTGGGTTACCCCTACGACACTTATACCTCATTAGGCCCATTGTACATCCTCCTAAGATGATAGGCACATCCTAGCTCGTGAGGCAGCCTACAGATTTAAGGTGCTTCTCCTATATCGGCCGGTGTTAGCCGATACTCGCCGAACACAAATCTTCTAATAAACGAGAGCGTCGAACAATCGTAAAGGATATGTTCGATAGTCTCATCTTCTTGTTCGCACCCTCTGCAGAGTGCGGATTCTGACAGTCCCATGATATGGAGATGCTTCCGTACTTGGCAATGACCAGTCAGAATACCTGTGACTAGGCGCAGATTCTGTCTAGTCATAGCCAAGTATTTGTTTTCTGCAGTGTTGTCAGGATAACTTAAGAGCTTCCTGGCAATTCTGCAGTTTCTTGTTTCATCCCATCTTTCCTTGAATTTCACATGGGAATGTTCTTTAATTAGGTCTGTCTTTGCCGATTTGGTCAGGCCAATAGAAGGGCCAGATCCAAAAAGTATTTGGTTGGCTGCTTTCTTGGCTAGTGAATTAGCAAGACGGTTACCTTTCGATATGGCGTGACCTTTAATCCATCTTAAGGTGACCACATTGTTGATGAATACTTCGGCCAAAGCTTCGTGACATTCTAGTACTAACCCTGAGTAAATTCATGGTCTGTTCAGGGTGAGTAGTGCTTGTCTGCTATCTGTATAGATGAGCATATTCCTTCCAATGATATTGTTTCTGGTTATTTCTTTTGCTGCTATGAGAATCCCCATTAGCTCTGTTTGAACTACATTGGTACTATTACTCACAGCCTATTTTATGTTTAGGTTAAGAATCTGGAATATATTCCACATCCTGAGTCTTGTTTTGTTTTAAAACCATCGGTCTATATATGTCTAGTTTAACTGAATTTTACTGAATTTTACTGAATTTTACTAAATTTTACTGAATTTTGCTGAATTTTACCTAATTCTGAATTTTACTGAATTTTATTAAATTTTATTGAATTTTACTGAATTTTACTGAATTTTACTGAATTTTATTAAATTTTACTGAATTTTACTGAATTTTACTGAATTTTACTGAATTTTACTGAATTTTACTGAATTTTACTGAATTTTACTGAATTTTACTGAATTTTACTGAATTTTACTGAATTTTACTGAATTTTACTGAATTTTACTGAATTTTACTGAATTTTACTGAATTTTACTGAATTTTACTGAATTTTACTGAATTTCACTGAATTTTACTGATTTTTACTGGATCTTAAAATAAAGTAAATATAAACAAAATAGTCGCCAGCCGAGAATCGATACCCGGCTTTTCGCGTGGAAAGAAAGCACTCTGCCCATGCATCTATGGCCACTTTTATGATTTTGGGATTAATACTAGTAATTAAAATAGTTTCATATAGTTTCATTAAAATTTATTTTTTTTTTTTCAAAATATGGCTCAAATAAAAATAAAAATGCTATTATTTACGATTATTTATAGATAACTCATTTTAATGTATATTTATGTATTCAATCCACATACTTTGATTTTCTTTTACTATACGGAGAATGGTCGCACTGCGCAGCTTTCTGAGTGCCTTTTAAAAGGAGATAGAAAACTCCGCCATTTTGAACCCTTATTACGTGTGGCCTACATCTTGGCGCAATATTTTTAATAGGTGCGTTTTAATCATCCGCTTCTGCTTCGGAATTGTCGGTTTTCTTGTTTTAATTTGACAAGTTAAACGACTAAACCGACAATTCCGGAAGCAGAAGCAGATGATTAAAACGCACCTGATATTTTGCTTGCGGCTGTCAGTGTCAGTGAATATTATTTTTTGAGTCACAGATTATTGCTAAAGAATCAGTTAGCTCACTCGGACCAGTTGAAAGTTTCAAAATAAGATCCACTCCAGAGATACAAATTTAGGATACGCAGAAGACAGCTGTTTTATTATAGGCGGTTGTTATATATTGTATTATCCGAATTGCGCAGTGTATAAACTGGAACATTGAGATCAAAAGTGCCGACGCAGAGTGAGCGATCTGATTCTTTAGCTATAAACTGTTGCATAGGGTTCAAAATGGCCGGGCCCTATGTTGGGCGTGTCGGACCTCTCTCTTGCGCCGTATAGTAAAGAAAATCAAAGTATGTGATTCAATCTCAATAATTAAAAAATATACTGACAATTAGTTTGACAGGATTGTCACTTATTTAAATAGTAGTTGGGTGTCCAAAATATAAACTGTTGGTGGATTTCATTTTTTTGCTGTGTTCTTACTACCTAGAATGGATATGAAATAGGTATATTCGTTCAGTTGAACGCAATGACAAACTTTTTCGTTTAGTAAAATATTTATGTCTACTTTTACGCTAAATCTAAAAGTCACTTTACAAAATACTGGACCCGTAGTGGACATAAATCTTAAAATTACTTGCACAAAAATAAAACAAACGCCATCGGTATAAAATAAATGTATTGCCTTTTAAATAATATACTTTGACGTCTAGTACAATAAATAAAAAAAATAATTTAAAATAAACATCATCGCGAAAATAGTCAAAACTGATTCAGGGGACAACAAAACGTAAAAATCCGTCGAAAAAAATCATGATTCCTATATTTTCATTATCTGTATACAGATAGGAAAGTAAAAAAATCACTAATATTTTGTACCTAATCTTATTTTGTAAATGGAATCACAATGTTTTTAATTTCAACAAAACACCATCCGCAAAACATTTTAAAAAGTATGCAAAACGAATACGGCATACTTATAAGAAACAAATCTAGATTCAAGATGACTTACAGGTGAGGAAAACCTCACCCATCATCATCATCGAAACGGTAACACATGGTGATTTACAAATCACCATGTAAGTAAAGACCAGAGGTAAAGACCATTGTCCATTTCCGATATACCTATCCCAACAAAAGAATGATATTTATGTCAATGTTACAAACAACATGAAAACCATACATTTCAAACTCCCTCCTCCGAAATAACAGCAGGTATTTTTAAATATAATTTATCTAATTCCTTGTTTCAGGTTAGACAGACATCTTTTTCTTGCGCCAATCGAAATCCTGGCTATTATGCGGATGTCACCACAGGATGTCAGGTAAATATGAAGTTATTAAAAATATAAATGTTTCTAATTAGACATTCCAAACAAAACGGCTACCAGTGCATTTTGGCAGGTTATGATATGGCAAAATTATGGCAACCCTGCAGGCCTGGTAATTTGACAATGTCAATGAAATAGATAGTTACATAGATTGATCATCCATATTTTTCAAAATAAACAAAAGCCTTGAAGTAAAAATGTAGATAATTATTTTTTTTACTATATTCAAAGGCTAAATATTGGTTTGTAAACACATTTTTGCAAAATCGATTCTGATTAATGAGCACTTGCGAGGCAATATGGCCGCTCGCAAACGACCCGATTTGAGCAATCTATATAACTACATCTATATCATTGACCCTGTCAATGACAACGGGCTCACAGAGTTGCCATATCTAAATGTCAGTTCCCACTTGTCAGCAGTTTGACAAGTCGTTAGAATGCCTAATTCCAAAGTAGGCTAAGGAAAAAATCACACATGTTATTTTTTTTCTTCTTTTTATATGACAATTTGAATTTGATTCAGTTGCATGTGTAATTATTACTTTAGAAACATTTTTATTGGATTATACATATTTTATACAATACCGAATTAATATCAAATTTTTGTTATTGTTCTTTTTGTTGTACAGGTATACCATATGTGCGACAATGTCGGCAGACAATTCAGTTACACGTGCCCAAACGCCACCCTCTTCCAACAGAGGATGTTGATTTGTGACCATTGGTACATGGTCAATTGCAGTAAGGCTGTTTCATACTACGATGCCAATCTTCGAATTGGTCAAAAAGACCTACATTTTGTAGATGATTCAGAAGTTAATGCTTTTACAAGAACTCCAAGACCCGATTTGTTAACTGCCCCATCGACTACACTAGAATATAATACTATTTACAGGTAATTTACTTTTTTTGTCTCTTTTTAAACCATAAAATATTTAGTTGCGCACGAAAGCTATCAAAATAGTAAATTATATTATTAAAAATTGTTAGTGTGTAATAATCTAAGATTTATGGTCACGAAAAATATGTAACAATAATCTAATTCGTGATTAGGTCACATTTAAAAGCATCTTGAAAATTTCTAATTCCTTCTGAGCCTTTATTTTTAGTCTGATCTTTGTGCAAACGATACGGTTAGGAATAAATAAAGTTTGACTTATCTTTCAAAAGAAAAGGTTTATTACCGTAAAAAACATGGAAACATGAATAAATCTAAACGAAAAATTTTATTACGTCGATTAGATGTATTAAAATGTTCATTCTATCTAAAAATAAGCATTGAAGGATGAGGTATAAATAAAATTTCTAACTCTTAAACCTGTACTACGTTGTGCAAATTAAATTACTGTACTCCTTTTTTCTTTAGACTATAATAGGAACAACCAAAAACAAAACTTTAATTTAATAAAAATATTTTCGCAAAAAAAAACAATGAATTTAACAACAAGACACTTTTGTTGACTTTGACAGAAATGCCGCTTATAGAGACGCCAACAGTACTGGCGAGATACCTAAAAAGTTACTAATTGTGACAAAAAGTTACTAAATTTGGTGTTAATAGGTTAGTATTAAAAGTCACTTACTAGGGTCGGGCGCAGGCGCAATTAGCGCCCGCGTTATTTAAAATACCTATTACGCATAAGTAGCAATCACGTTAACGTTGACTATATTTATTTATTTATTAAATGCACTATTCTACAAGTAATGCTCAATTACAGAATAGGAAAATATGACAAACATATTTAGACGGAACATACAAAAATGGAAAATATTACAGGAAATGAAGTACAATGATGGTTATCCAAAATAATGCCTTTTGATATCCTGAATACTAATGTGGAATATATTCAATTCCTAACTTATCTGATTATAATTATTACACATATTATACAACGCTGAGTTCTTTAAAATATTAGTACAAGGTGTTGGTGGTAAGTAAAATGAGTCAGTGTATCTTGAGGCTTGACGTGAAACTTTTAAATTAAGCATATGTAATAGACATTTGCAGTTTGTTTGATTGCTTATGACCCATGTACAGCATAACTAAGAATAGTATATTACATTACGAGTGTGGAAAGTGATATTTTTCACACGAGTGGGAAATATTGTCGCACGAGGCACAAGCCGAGTGCGACTATCACACGAGTGTGGAAAATCACTTTTCACACAAGTGATGTACAATATTTTTCCTACGACCACAAAATATTTTTATCAAAAAATGTAAAACCAGGTTATTATAATAATTAAAATGTATTTAAAAAAATAATCAACAACAATCGTATTTATTCAATTTTCATATTTTTTAAACAAAAAAAAAATTAAAAAACAAAAAAAAAATAAAAAAAAAAAAACAAAAAAAAGTTCTGGTCCCGGCAGGATTCGAACGTGGTCGTTCGCCAGGTCTCTCAAATGGCAAATTTGATAGTTTGATGCTCTAACCAACTGAGCTAACAGGCCTTTCGTCAATGGAGTGATCTAATCGGTTATATGTTTAACCAGAATAAAAAGCAAACATAATCTTAGTTATTTTAAAATTATTTTGATAATAATTGTTAAAGATAAATATCTAGGATCTAATTTACAACAATTTCAATAATTTAACAATCATATCGATTTTAGTATTAATATGGACATTACACAGATCAAAATAGAAAATAGGTGTTTGACATTTTGTAACAACTACTGCGGAAAGTAACATATTCTCACTCGGGTGGAAAGTAAATTCTTATTCATACGCGTGTGATATAGGGCACTTTCCATAGGACTTTATAGTGTGATATGTGTCACTTTCCTAAGTGGTCGTAGGAAAAAATATTTTCGCCTTATATCGAGACTTGAAAATCCATGTTTATTTAATAAAGCGTCGAGTGGGGTGCCAATGGGTGGATAAACTAGATCATGTCTAAAACTTAAGAATTTTAGGAATCGTCTCTGAATTCCTTCCAATCGACCAATGTGCTCCATATAAGTGACGCATATTCAAGCTTGGATAGGACAAAGCATATGTTAGCAACCCCGTAAGAGACGCCGCTGGAATATCTAGTACTATGACTCATTAGGCGATAAGTCGAAATCACCAGAAATTATATAAGCGTTTTATTTAGATATAGGGCATTATTGTGCGAATCATTATACAGTTTAGTCGAATATAATAAATAGTGAAGTTAAATAGTCGAGTTTAGTGTTACAACCCTCTCCTAACATCAGAAGTGGTTCGACTCGCCCTGAAATGGGTAGAAAAAGAACGTATTCTTCTTCGAGCAGTTCTAGTTCCTCGAGTTCTACTAGTTCTTCGTCCAGTTCAAGTGCTTCTAGATTAAATAAGAGACGCAAGAAAAGTAAACAAAAAAAGAATTTAAAAGTACCTAAAAACAAGGCGGGGGTAAGTCAAGTCTCATTATCCTTATTATCGGAAAAACATGTTATATCTAATGCAGTACCCGAATTTAACCCGTTATCAGATAATATCGGCTGTTGGATTGAAATTATAGAGCATAATGTAAAATTATTTAATTGGGCCGAACACCAGACTATCCATCAAGTTGTGAATAAGTTACAGGGTACAGCAAAAATTTGGTATGAAAATTTAATCGCCAACGACAAGCAATGGCCTAGTTATAGTTGGTCCGATTGGAAAAACAAATTGATGGAGACATTTCATTCTAGAAGAGATATGTACACACTTTTAATTGAATTAGCAAATCATAAGCCTTCAGATGGATGTTCTTTATATGAATTTTTCTTTACACACTTAGCAAAAATTGATAATTTAAAACTAAATTTTTCAATCGAAGATAAAATTTCATTAGTTTTGGGTGCTATAAATGATAAAAATATTACTTCAGCAGCAGAAGCTGCAAATATCAATGATTTAAACATCTTAGGGTCTTATTTGCGAAACAAAGTTTATTGTAAGATTTCAGAAAAACCACAAAAATATACTGAAGTTTCGAATAACAATTATTATAGTAAACCTGTTGCTAGTACCAGTAAAGATTTTGGCCGTAGGGATATTTTTGACAAATTTAAAAAAGTAAATTACGAAAGACAAAGGAATTTTTCAACGGTGAATCATAAAATTATTATTTGTCATAGATGTGGTATAACGGGACAACATATTAGTGATAATTGTCCTCACCGACACAAAATTTGTAACAATTGTAAAATAAAAGGTCATATTGGCAGAGCTTGTAAATCTGCTGTAAAAAAAGAAAAAAATAATGAAAAACAAATAAATTTAACAAAAACTGAAAACGTTAACATGATAACTAACAAAGAGGCAAAAAAATTTTTCAAACCGGTTCTTATTAATAATCAAGTTATGCAAGCGTTTATAGACTTAGGAAGTGATTGTTCATTGATTGAGAAAAATTTAGCAATTCGACTTAAAATACAAGTTAAAAACTTACAGGAAAAAGTGCGTCTTACGGGGTTCAATGGTGACGTAACCGAAGTGAATGAATATGTCGAAACTGAAGTAACTATGGAAGGGTGTAAATTAAATATTTTATTATATGTTACAGTTAATACTTTAAAAAATACTGAAATTTTAGTAGGACGTAATTTTACGGAAAATCCAAAAATTTCTTATTATCGTATTGGTAATGAATTAACTTTTAAATATTCAGATAATTTACAACTTTTTCAACTTGAAGTTAATCACGGGGACTTAAATAAAATAGATAAAATGAAATTATATAATATTATTGAAACATTTCACAGTTGTTTATATTCCTCTATGGAAAAATTGGGCAAAGCACATTCGGTAATAATGAAAATAGAGACTACTACATCCAAACCAGTTACATTTAGACCTTATAGGTTATCACAGTCAGATAAGGATATCATGAAAAAACAAGTTGGTGAGTTACTTTCCGCCAATATAATAAAAAAAAGTAGCTCAGAATATGCTAGTCCAGCTTTATTAGTAAATAAAAAAAGGAGGGGACAAAAGGCTAGTTATTGATTATAGGGCTTTAAATAAAATAACAGAAAAAATTAAATTTCCACTACCAGTTATAGAAGACCTTATTGATTCACTTGGAGGCTATACATATTTTTCGACAATGGATTTAGCGTCGGGTTACCATCAAATACCATTGCACCCCGATTACACACACAAAACAGCATTTGTAACTCCAGAGGGACATTACGAATACTTAAGAGTACCCTTTGGGTTATGTAATGCCCCTGCGGAGTTTCAGAGAATGATGTCTGAAATTTTTGAACCTCTTCGAAATGTCGGTATCACTCCTTACCTGGACGATATTATTATTCCATCTAACACAATAAGTGAGGGTATAGAAAAATTGCAAAAAGTTTTCCAGATCATTGAAGAACATGGTCTAACTGTTAAATTATCAAAATCTCAATTTTTTCAAACTAAAATAACGTACCTAGGATATGTAATTAGCAATAATAATGTTTCTATTAGTGAAGAAAAAACAGTTGCTGTTAAAAATTTCCCTATGCCAAAGACTATTCACCAGGTAAGACAGTTTCTAGGGCTTACTGGTTATTTCAGAAAATTTATTAAAAATTACGCTTCTAAAACTAGTATATTAACAGATTTATTGAAAAAGGATTCGAAATGGAATTGGACTCAGAATCATACAGAACTGGTAAACCATCTGAAGGAAATGATTTGCTCAGTTCCCATTCTAGCCATATTCAGTCCAAATTTAGAAACACGTGTATACACAGACGCTAGCCAAGAAGGAATTGGAGACATAATTATTCAACTCAATGGAGCAGAAGAAAAACCAGTAGCTTATTACAGCAAGAAAACTTCTCCTGACGAAAGAAAGTTTCACTCATTTGAATTAGAACTACTTGCCATTGTAAGAACTTTAGAACGATTTCGACACTATCTTTTGGGGATTCCGTTTACTATTT